AACAATCAGTGTTTTCCCAGCACTGCTGTCTTATTATGTCTAAAGCAATGCAACCGAAACACAGGAGGAATATCAGGATGAAGATAAGGGAACAGTATATTAGTTCAGAAGGGATGGAGGGTGACACTGTGGACTCACTTCTCCAGGAAGATGTCTTTCTTTCTGGAAACAGAGCCTTTTATTACTTTTCTTAATTTGTTTTTGCAATTTGTGGGGTGCTGGCAATTTACAAAGCAGTGGGTTTGTGCATAGTAAGCATTCTATTTGTGATCAGAATTGCATTCTCATGCTGAGTCAGTCATCGTCCAACCCAAGAGAAACAGAAAATACAGATCCTTGCTTCAAAATCAAAACCATGCAGCAAACCTGATCTACAGCAGGCAGTAAGAATATGAATTTGACCCAAGCTGTCTTGCTTTAGGGGCAACTTCCCCATCACAAGAGCAGGCCTGGGAGCTGAGCATGCCCTGCAAAGTCATGATTCCATCTTTTCCTTGGCTTGGGATTGAGACTCCCCTTGCTGATGAGTTAGTGGCTCTGCATAAGCACATGTGGCCGAATCAAATCCAGTATTTTATCATGAATAGGAAAACAGAGAGGGAAGAAGGGCATTTTCCACAAATAATGCCTCTCAGTGTTGCTGCCAGCTCTGCACTGAGATATCAGGCCGTTTTTGCGCTCTTTCCTCCTCGGACAAAAACAAACCTGTGTTTTGAGAGAGTACCGTTGTAATTGTGGGCAGTTATATGGAGGGGAAAAATAATGTGGTTTGTCATCAATCTCTCGGTGTGGCACACAAGAGCTGACTTGTTGAAATTTTGTAGGCTGTATTTACAGAGAAAACATAGACCTGGTGCTGTGCAGGGCCCTATCAGTCCCAAGGTCTGGAAGAATCATATCAGAGAAAAAGGAAAGGCTTGAATCGTAACCTTTCAGGATAATCTAATCCATAAGGGAACAAAAATTACTCTGCTCCTGTGAGCAAGATCAAACCCTGAAGAATTTAATTACTAGGGATTTATTGGTGAATATATGCATAGGTTGGTTCAAGGCAAAGCTAGCAAATAGCAGCGAACAGCAGTTGCTGGCCCTAATGGATGGTGCTATTTTACACAGCCACACACAATGGGGAAAATCAAAGATGGATGCTTCCACCCTTGAAAAATTCTGCACTGGAGTGAAATGAAATGCTCTATTGCTGTAGGGGAGAGATGCTAGCAAAAGGTCAGAAACAACTCTGACCCTTGGGACACCGTTCAGACCATGTGCTGCAGCTCAGGCTGGGGCAGATTCTGCGTCAGGGTTACCTTGCACAGAGCTTTCACTGATGTTGTGTCCTTTCTTTTCACTTGCCCGTTAAAAGTACCCACTAAGCCTCATGAAATGAGTGATTTCTTAATTCAGTGGATGAACTGAAAAAGGGGAGGATTACATTGGTAGAATTTGAAAAGCCATTTGGCTTGAAACTGCTTTTATTTGTCTCACATTTATGAATGTGTCCTTCCTCCGTCTTCCCCATCACTGTTTTTTTTACTACTGCATTTCAGAATGGTGTTATGGAACCAAACTAACCCGATTCCAGCAGGTGTAAGACCTTTTGGCATAAAGGCTGTGTAAAAATCTGAGGGCAAGTCAGAGCCCTTTCTATGTAGCTGTTTGAGACTGAACTACCACTATGCTGACAGTGACCAAAAGCAGAAACATATGAGAAATGGGCTTCTGACTTCATTTTTGCTTTGTAAAAGTTAGGCAGCTCTTCCACATCTGCAGAATCCATGTGCAGTCAATGGGGAACAGATGCAGACAGCTCAGGAGGAGAGTCATGCCTTACAGCATTATGTGCTGTTATCACCTTGAAACAAAGCGTGTCTCAAACTGAACAGCACGTAGTCCTTTCCAGGCACAGGCTGCTCCTATATCTCTGTAACAACAACAAAGAATTCCCAGCCTGGCTTTCCTTTGGACAGCTTCTGTTTACAACTCATATGATATATTTCCTTCTCTTTTTTACTTTATTTTTTAAGAATATCTTGCTATTCCACAAAACGAGGGACACTATATGAAAGGTAAAACCTTCCTAATTTGGTAAAGAGCCTTTTTTTTATGATTTGACCATTTTTCTCTTTCACTTCAATAATTTTTGTGGAGATTTCAAAATAAAACCAAGTCTACTTCTTATTAATATTGCTAAATGAGTCACCCACATGCATAACTCTTATATATAAAAGGAGCATTTTCTTTTACTTCCATAAAAATATCCAGAGGGCAGTGGCAGTGGGAGTAAATTGAGAAGACTGACGTTAAACAAAACCAGTCTCATACATTTTCTGCAACTTCATTGTCTGCATTGTGTCTTGCATGGAAAAACGTGTAGGTTTGCACTGTACAAGTTCTAGAGTTGGAAAAATTATCATAAAAGCCAGTGGCTATTTTAACTAACTCACTGCTCATGCTTACACATATATATTTAATTTTCATATTCCATCCTGCTAAGACCATGTTAGGTAGTTGGTGGGTAACTGCTTGTAATATCACCCCCCAAACGATTTGAAATTTGCCAACTTACATGTTTTGTTGTGAGTCCAAATCTAGGACAGATTTATGGAGTTTTGTTACTGAAATTGATAGGTTCATATATTTCAAGCTGACATGCCTGCAGTCCACAAAATTCCAGAGAATAATTGACTGACCAATCAGCCCAGTGTCTGTAAGGGTGTAAGCTGAGTATAGGTGCCCTCCAATCTCAACCTGCCCTCAACGTCCTTTCTCCTGTGCTAATTCTTGGAGTAGTGTCCCTCTTTATGACATGGCAAAACTTCTCCACACCCCCAAGAGTTTGGCTTTTGGCCTGCAGAGCCTCGCTCCCAAGAAAAGAAAGGTGATGTTTCCTGCATGCTTCATTTGCCAGCCGTTGTGATGTTCAGTTGATGTCAGCTGTTGGCATGTCGCACCTTCTGCTGTTGTTCTGTCTGATACAAATGAGAAAAAAAATCAGCACTAACAGCGTGGGTCATTGCAATACAGAAACACTTTGATATTCATGATAGTTTCTTTCCCAGAAGTACTACGTTCAATTCCTGCCCCTCCCATAAAAAAAAAAAAAAAAAAAAAAAAAAAAAAAAAAAAAAAAGGGGTTTAAAAAGCATTTTCAAAACAAAAATGGGATTTTTGTTGTCTTTTTAAAATTAACTGGAAGGAAGAACATTTTGTTCAATGTCTTCCCTGGGTCAGCCAGCTAACCACAAAGCCTGTGGCTCACACAGCTCAAGTGCTTGGTAACTCTTTGCCTGCTGGCATTAATATACATAAAAACCCTAATTTAAGAATTCAGAAACTCCAAGAAAAGTTTTGAGCACAACTTTAAAGCAATATCAGTGTCTTTAAGACCAATGCGAGCAAAAGTGAAGACTTCAAGACAACCAACCTTGAGATGGCTTGAAGGCATCCAGGCTGGTGTGCTTCTCCTTACCTGGCCTTGTGTCTAAGAGCAGCATTAGGATAACTCAGTAACTATGATGTGATTTTTTCCCGATTGCATCATATTTTCAGCCTTAAATGAAAGACTTTTGAAGTTTTTCACATCTATAATATCTGCAGAATGTAACTGTGTCTTGGCTGGGTCAGGAGCTTGTATGTAATGTTCATGGTGTTTTTCAGCTACAGAGAATGTGTGACTTTTCCAGAAAACAGAGCAAACAGATGAGAGAAAAGAGGAAGGAAGACAGCAAGCTGATCTGAGCAACTGTGAAAACACTTACAAAGCATAATAATGCGTACAGTAATCCATAAAAATAGTTCAGTGCAGTTGTGAGACGTTCATTGCAAGCACAGTTGTTATTAAGAGGGCTGTGAGTGGCTGGAGATATCCAATGTTAATTAATTAATTATTGAATACAGACAGGCAATAATCAGACCTTCCCATCCAAATGAACAGACATAAGTGGGAATCTGCGGGCAAAAGATAACTGAATGTACTGGGTTTTGTCCTGCAGATTTAACAGAGAGAAGTATCTGCTACATACATACACAGCTTTTAAAAATGAACCTCTGGGATTTTGTAATGAATCGTTTCCCATTTTAAGCCTCACGGAAATTTCTTAACTGTTTAATCCAAAGCCCATTGGAATCGATGGAAATCTTTTCATTTACAACATGGGATTTTGAATAAGGCCCTGTGCGGCCATGAAATAAATGTGACTCTATAAAAATTAATCATAAATATGCCCAGAAATAGTTTTAAATCTGTTCAAATTTTCATGGAGATCTTTTCTACGGGAATTCTAAATCATCTTCTGGATTTCATAGACTACAGAGAAATGTAATTTCCCATTAGATGTCAGAAGCTGGCTTGATATGTCTGTGCAAAAGATCTCATGTTCTATTATTCTCTGTGAGACAGAACTTCCATCTTTATAGACAGGAGACAATAACTCTGCAGGGGTTGATCTTGGATAAGCTCCTTCCTACAAACCCCTCCAAGTGGCCATGTTTGCCCTTTCAAATTGTGGGAGAAAGAAATGACAACCAGCAGATGTAAACCCATCCCTGGGAGTTCCTGCCTCTCTTTTAAAGAGGTTTCAGGGGATTTCACAGCCCTGTTTTTCAAATGCAGGATGCACGGCGGTGCCACTGCAAAGCTTACTCCTGCCAAGGGGCTCTGCTACTCTTCACCTGGGGGTTCATTGGATGTAGCAAGTTTCTACCATCTTCTGTCTTCCTCTCTCTGTCCTTCACATGCAGAAGCTTGTTATCCATGTCTATATATGCACACACTCTTTCTGAGGGACACTGCAGTTTATTTTCATCCTTTTGGGAAAGCAGCCCTTCTTCATTAGTGCAAGCAGCAGCGTCTTTGGGGATAGATTTCAGCATCAATCCCCCAAAGGCTTGTTCCTCCACTGAAGTAAATTATTGCATTATTATTTCTTCTTCTGTATTTGAGAAGGTGATGAGATCATTTATTGATTTTAAGGGTTAATAGAGCCTGTCGGGGTCTTTTTCCCTCGGCTGCCTTCGCTGCAGCTCTAGGATCAGTAACAGCTCCGAGCTACACGATGCTAAATCAGAGCACACTTTCCTGAAGAAAAGAAAAGAAACGAAAAAAAAAAAAAGAAAACTTACCACCAAGCGAAGAAGCAGTTCAGTCTGGTTTAAAGGAAGGGGAGGGAGGGAGCAGGGGGAACAGGGACTAACTTTGGAGAGAAAATAACAAACTTTAAGTCCTGAGGTCTTTCCTCTATATTGAAAAGGCAGTTTGGAAAGGAAATTAGTAAAAACAAACAGAAGGTGCCAAGGTTTCTTTATCATACCTGGAGTAGGATATGCTAAATTCCACAAGCCTTCTCACTGGCGCCTGGTGCTGCGCTGGAAAAAATGGTACCCATGGCTCTATAAAATGATCTATTGGGACTTCAAAGTCGTGGCAGCTCCGTGTGGCACAGGATGTGCTCAATTAATTATGTGATTTCTAAATGACAGGGGTTGGGAAAAGTAAAAATAATAAAAAGAGGGGGGAATAAAAAAAAAAAAAAAGAAAATGATGATGAAGAAAAAGGTTTTTAAAGAAAATAATATTAAAGAAAGAAAAAAAAAAAAAAAGGGAGAAGTAAACTGAAAGGCCTTGTTGTCTGTCTGCCAAACAGCAGCAGCAGATAAGGTCCGTAGTTGCCGTGGAAACACAGGCCCGTAGGAGCCAGAATCCAATTTCAGAAACCACAAAATCAACATAAACGTGTGCAAAAATAAAAAGGTTTGTTTGGCAAGTAATAAGTAGAAGGCTACCAATGTATAAAACAGATGAACCGGGGTGACCTTAGCCAACTTTAAGCCATAATAATGACGATGTCCCATGTAGCTTTGGCACCTCTGAAATGAGCAGTAACGAGCCGCAGTCCTGCTGCCTACTGCTGTCTTCTAATGGCCACCCCTCTCTGCAGTACTTCCCCACACCTCCCTCCTTCCCTGTCCCTTCTTCCTTAAAAAAATGGAGTGAGGAAGGAGAAATACTCATTAAAGCAATGCTGGTAATCTCTGAGACTAAGACCGACATAATGTCTACTGACGCTGTCCAAAGTCATCACAGGTAGAAAAGTCACTTCAACCATTAAGTCCTTCAACCATTTCCAAGCCTACAAAGACGTTGCAATTCCAACCTTTGCCATTTACCTAGAAAAATGTGCCAGGACATGGGTGACTGTACTATTTCAGACCAGACCCCACTGCAACGACGCTGGGATTTCTTTATTGCAGATGGCTTTGGGATGCTTAAGACAGCTTTGAAACCAAGCTATTTAGGTGCTGTACTGTGAAACACCCTTGAAAATAAAGGAAAGAAAGAAAAAAAAAGAAGCCAATTTATTTCCTCTTCTCCCTGCTTCCAGGCCTTCTTGCATGGACATTCATTATAGTATGGCAGACTCAGCTCCCTGCTTCATGCCTGGAACTACATTGAATTCTCCATGCAAAACTCCCTTCCTGGGCTGCTGTGAGATGACCTGAGTGCTCTGAGGCACATCTCAAGCAGAAATGCCACCCTGAACCTATGAAATGCTTTGAAGTAGAAGTGCGGTTGAAATTGGTATGTTCCTGAGGTGTTTCTAACTAACTATTAGGTCAAAAAATCCCATCTCTGCAGCATGAATGGCTCTCACACTGAGTGAATTTGCAGGGCAGGATTTCACCCATTGTGGTCCTCGTGCCTGCAGGTGGGATGCAGGCAGCAGAGCTGTAGGGGTCTGCCATAAGTTGACGCTCTCCCTGAATTCTGCTGTGCCCCTCTAAAGAACAGTTCTTAATGCTACCAGGCAGAAGTACCTTGGTAGTATCACCAGCGAGCTGGGAAAGCAGTAGGGGGAGACAAAAAATTGCGCTCGTGGTCTAAAACCTCAATTTTATATTTTTTACAACCTGTCTGCTGGGAGCCCCTGACAGCAAGAAGGACACATTCACTTTAATATAAGGGTCCATTTCCAAAAAAAACAACAGTACGAATCGTGCCTCCATTCAGTGCTGAATGTCTATTTCTGGTTTAGAAAATAAGACTTTATCTTCTCTATCTGATGATTACTCACTGTGTTTCTCTTTCCCGTATGCCAAGAACAAGGAGCTGTGTGTTAGCCCTATACTGCTTTGACCCTGCCTGGAGCAATGCAATCTTTGGGGAATGCAATGCAAGGGAGAGTCATGAGCAGCACCCGACCAGCATAGCTCCCCAGTTTCAGGGTAATGATCTCTGGATTAATTGATGCTTGTAGCTGCATGATATGAGGGCTGCTATTCCATTCCCATTCCATTCCCAAAGTAAAAAACTGTGTTGTGCCGATTAGGATAATTTCTGGCAGAAATTGGGTTTACTCACTAAGGACAGTGAAATTTAAAAGCCACTCATTGATGACTGATTGCAGTTCTTTGCCTGCATTACTACGTTGTGTAATTTCCTCCTTCAGGAAAGGTCTTAGTTAGATGTTAATTGTCTTTAATGAGAGTCAGTGCAACTGATTTCACTGTTGATCAGCTAACTTCACTGGAGAGTTTGTCTTCACGAGCACGGAGCAAGGCATTCATCTGTACAGTGAATTGAAATCAGTATTTATGAGCAGGAGAGTTTCTGAGAGGTTTTGCAAGGTAAAAGCCTGGTACTCCTCTGCACTTAGTACAGACCATTGCATTTTTGCTTTGTGCTAATATTTTCTTGCTTCCAGCAGTGGCATGTGGGCGAAGCAGCCAACAGCTTCTTCAAACACTGTCATTCATCACTTTTTTAAGAGCTCAGTTATACAACCACATGGACTTTAAATTACTCTAACAAGAAAAAGGCAGAAAATTGAGCTGGAAGGTGTAGGGCTAATGTGTTTTCACAATTTGCATGTCCCCAGTTCTTTTGCTGTATTTGTGATTTCTTCCTGCAGTGTAGCAAACTCATCCTTCTGCAGTCCTATTTTGGGGACTTCGGTTGTTGTTTCACACTCAAATTAATGGATTTTCTGCTATTTTGAAAACTCATGGGCTGCACGATTGAGAGCTTGTGCATTGCAGGCACCCAGGGGCTCTCTGTTTCCCTCTCTGTAGTCAGCTTTGTTAGGAAAAACCCTCATGATGAACGCAGAGAGGAGGAAAGAGATGGGAGGAAAATCCAAACAACGCGGGAGCATCCCTCATTGCTGCCAGCAGCGATTTGCACTTTCAGCTAAAACCCCTCCAACTTTTCAGCGGGTTTAAGGGAGAAGCCTTTCTGTGTCACTGAGCAAGCCTAACAAGCAGCTGTACCAGCATGGGGTTTTCATGTCACGCCGTGTGAGGACTCGGTGTGCGCGGTGACCCTCGGCACGGCGCGGTTCCCTCCTCGCCCCCACCACCATCACCACAGCCCAGCGCCGTGGTGGCTCGGTGTCACCTGGTCTCCATTGGCCCCAACTGATGGAGCCAAGTTCCCACACTGCCATCGCACGCAGCGCTGCAGTGCAAACACTGGGAGGAGCCAGGAAAGGCTTTTATTGTCCCACCAAGTGTTTGCAGCCTGAGCTGTTCCTCGTGCTGTGATTTTGCTTGTGACCGAGCAAGTCCAAGATGTGACAAAAGGCAACGTTGCCCTCAGAGACAAGAGGGCAGGTTACGTGAGAGAGGGATGAGTTCGCAGCGGGTTCTTGAAGCTGGAATAAAGAACTCAGTGTTCCAGCCCGCGTGCTGCGTGACAGCACTGAGTTATTCCAGCCACGACTTTCCATAGCGCCCACAAGCTTGGATGCATCGTTTTTTGCATGGTCAGTTTGGCTTCCTTGCTTTACGAAGAGCCTGCTTCTCAGAAGCAATTAGGGCCTGCAGATGCAGCTCGCATCCCTGCGGGCGGGGAGAGGGAGACGCTCGTTATCCACAGGCAGACACCAAGAATTAGTGACAGCTCCTCTGCCGAGGTACACAGCTCAGGGGAAGATAATTGCTCCTTCTCTCCTGCACATCTGCACCAGGCCAAATATAATGAAGCCCTATATTTTAATGGGCAGTAATGTTTAATATTTGACATTAGGTAAATATACTTTCCTTGCCGCTAGAATAATTTCATGCAGATTTAGGGTGGAGCTTTGAAAAGCTCCTGGGTAATGGAGTACAAATTCGTCTGCGCTCAAGGCTCACACTGTTTTGAAAGTCCCACCCTTAATCTCTGATCATTACAAACTCTTACCAGCCAGTAAATCTCAACCGCTGTCTTTTCAATAATGGTTATACCCAAAAACCCAACACCTGAGGTCAGGCCTTGTGACGCTGCCGGGCGGTGTTCCTGAGGACAAGCAGTGATGTCACGCACAGCCCCACGGCACGGCTCCGGCGGGGGGAGCCGGAGGGGAAAATTTCTATTTATGCAAAAGCTTTGGCAATCTCAAGCAATGGAAAAGGACATAAAGAGAGAAAGTATAGAGCTGAAATGTAAATAGCAGTTTTTATGAAATATGTCTCCAAGTTAGTCCATGCCCGACAAAAGTTCTTGAAACGTATCTGGATATATTGTAATGTCTTTTTTTTTTTTTTTTTTTTTTTTTTTTTTTTTAAGTACTTTACCAGTCTATCTATGGCAGTTCAGTGGATGTCAGCAGCAGCGCTACGTTTAAAATGATAGATATTTTAGAATGAAACCATAAATCTTTAGAGAGTTACAATCGACTTCCTTTTAAAAATGTGGGTAATGGCAAATGGAAATTTACAATGGTAAAGGAACGTGTGGTGCTGGCGGTTGGACTTGATGCAGCAAACATGCATCTGCTGTACTTAAGGGGGTGACTGCCCTCATGGGCTTGAAGTCCAGCACAGGAAGCAGTGGGGAATGACCCATGAAATGCGTTTATGGAAAGGATCCACCAGTGATGTAGCTGATCTCATCAAGGAGAAGCACCTTAGAAATACCGCGGGGTGAATAGGAATAGTGAAACATAAGGACTCGATTAAATAAACAGGGAGGACGGTTGAGAAGTCGCATCACTTGTCCTGTACCATAGCCTAGCTAAACTTGATGGACTTGAAGGCAATGTTAGTGTGATGCTAAGCCAGCTGTGACTGGTTTGCTGGAAGTGGTAAAACAATTCATAGATTCATAGGATCACAGAATGGCCTGGGTTGAAAAGGACCACAATGATCATCTAGTTTCAACCCCCTGCTATGTGCAGGGTCGCCAACCACCAGACCAGGCTGCCCAAAAAGGGTTGATAAGGCATTGAAAGTGGACTCTGAGGCTCACCTACACTCACAGCTCAGAAATAACATTTCAAGCATGTGGTAACAAGATATCAGACCATGAAGATGATTTCTGTTCCCAAATAGTGACCTTATTATGAAGCATACCAGATTTTGTGAGATCTCTTCCTTTATTTTCCTGTAGGAGATAATAATAATATAATAAATTTTCCTGAAATAGAATAACAGAGCCTCCTTAAATCACAACTTTGAGAACCTGAATTGTTTTTTAAAAGAAAATTAAATAGCCCTTTATATGATTTATTCTCCTCTGCTCCACATGCAAAAAAAGCTTATTTTTTTCCATTACAATTTACCTGGTCTCCAAGCACAAGAAAAATGCTTACAAACACCACATTTTTTTCAGATTGATTGAGTTGTTATAAACCTCAGCTATCACCTTTTTATACTCGATACATATACCAATGGTGTGCAGTCTTATTTAAGGTATTTTTCAGGACTAGAACACCAAACAGAGGTACTTCAGCTTTCATTGTAAGGAACTGGCTCAGCCTCTAAGCTCGGTCAGTGGATGATTTATGTGGGTGGGTGGGTACATATTTTGCCCAGTGTATCACCAAATAACAGGGCTAAGCTTAAAAACAGTCTCTGAAATGGGCTCTGTTCCTTTTGGGGTTGATTAAGCAAGACAAAATCAATTAACATCTGAGACCTCACAGGGATCTGCAGTGAAATTGTTCCAATTACTAACACTGCAAAGCAAATTAGGAGGCAATTAAAAGGAGTAGCTGTGATTTCACTGTTACTCTGGCCACTGTCATATACATTCCATCTTAGAGTCGTTAAAAATGTATTTTGTCATTTTATTTTTTCTTTAACCACGGCATTTTTATTTTAAAAAATTGAAAATACCATTAATTTATCTGGAGATATTTCCTAAAATTAAGCTAGCTGAGGGTATATGCATGTGTATATTGATTTTGCATGTGCTTCAGGTAAATGCCTTTGGAGGAGTTGCTGCTGGTACTTATCCCAAGAGCTGATTTGCATGCACAGAAGTTTTAGGAAGAAACCAACCTTTATGCACAGCATATGTTTTCTTCCATAGTATTTATCAGAATGAAATGCGAGAAGAGATGAAAATCTATCATCTCTCCATCTTCTTGCCTGAAACGAGCCAATGACATCCTGTTTTATTGGCTTATGTTTCCACAGATCACGTACAATCCATACTCGAGAATTTACCATTATGAAGTCTTTAGTCAAGGATCTCAAGTCGCATTGCAAATACGAGTTCATTGTGCTTCGTTCATGTTTTGCCTCACAGGCAGATTAAACGGGGAATTAAGATTTAAATTACTCAGCATCACGCAGGAAATAGGAATCCTAACCTTTACAATTTCACAAACAAATTCACCACCCTTAACTCATTGCAATTGAAAGAAAAATTCACGCTATGCAGCCTTGCGCTGTCAAGTCCAACTTTCCTCATCTGACTTTCTTCCTTAAACACCATCTGCTGTCACCAGCCATCCTGGCCCAGCCTCTGCCTTTTTCCATTCGCATTCCTAAACATTTTGGAGATCCTCCATCCTCTGTACCTTCAGTCTCAGGGCACTGCCTAATCCCAACTTGTTTAATGCTCTGGGTGCTGGCTGCCTTCCTTGGCCTTGGAGCTGCTCAGCGGTGGGAGGCTCCATGCCAGGGAGGGAACATTTCGGGTCAGTGGGAGGCAGAACCACCCCAAGCATGGCGAGGAACAAAGCCACTTTTCTTGGCTTTTACCAGTGGATGGATCCACCTCAGCCCTTCACCTGGCCCATGTTTTAACCAGAGTGGTCGCTGTGGACCAATGAATCCAAATCTCCGTGAAAGCACGGAGGCAAATCACACAGAGCTGAGTGCACATGTCCAGAGTGAGTGGTTTTTTGGCAAGCAACGCGTCTGCAGTCATACTGAATCATTGCACAAATCCATCTCATTTAGGGGCAAGGGCGAGGAGGAGTTGGTGCAGATGTGGCACCACCAAGGGCAAACAGAGGGATGATGGCAGCAGGACCTGGAGCAGGGATGTGCCAAAGGGGGGCAGGGGTGGCAGAGACACACTGCCTTAGGAAGGGGCAGAAGAGGCTGAAGTAGGGCTGCAGCTTGGAGCAGGAGCAAAGAAAGGACTGGAGCACTGCAAAACACGTGTTTCAGGGAGTCAGGATGCCTCCTGCAGCTGCTCCTGAGCGCTTTAGAGGTTAATGGTCTTCTCGGTTGAACACCATGTGTCAGCCTGAGAGGTACCACCCAAGGGAAAAAAAAAAAGCAAATTAAAAAATAAACCTCACACCCACCAGTCTGCAATCAAATCTGCTCCGTCATGCTGAGCGACTGGTGGAGGAGAGGAGAGGAAAGGAAAGCAGCTAGCTCCAACCCTAATAATTCTGATGATTCATCGCTATGAATTAACCGAGGTCTTTGGGGACAGCAGCAACGGGATCGCACTGCTTCTTTAGGGATAAAAAACACTCCTGGTAAACACGCCTTCCCCGTCCCCTAAACGCTCACCCCACGCAAATAAGGTGAGTCACAGCTCCCACCCAACAGCAGGTCCTCCTTGCACAGCCATTCCCTTCGCCTTTGTCCATACCACCCAGCATCAGCTCCTGGAAGGGCCCGTTTATTTGGGCAGAGATGCAGATGCACACACACACACACACACACACACACACTCGCACATATATCTGTGTAAAAAAGCCTTTTTTTTTTTTTTTTTCCTTTTTTTTTTTTTTTTTTTTTAAGGGAGCATGGAAAGGCGTCTTGCCAAAGAAACGACACTAAGCGGCGCGTTCCATTTTAGGTGTTGACAGTGGATAATAAATCCCGGCCCTACCTAACATTTACAGGAACATTATAAAATAAGTGAAACGGCGTGAGCTGGTTCCCAGGGCAACCAGACAAACACAATAAACAGGCCGCAGAGGCAGGAGTAAGTTACACCACACTCCTGGGTCTCAAATATATCACTTTACATTACCCTTCTGCTGTTGCTGCTCCTGAAAGCTCTTTATTTTATTATAGTCCAAGTTTTTTTGTTTGTTTGTTTTGTTTTTTTTTTTTAAAAAGGACTTTTTTTTTTAGATGGAGATCAGGGTGAAATCGATGCGTTGGTTTGGTTGCTTGTCCTTACAGGTCTTTTGCTTTATGTTAAAGCATCTGTGAAAATAATAAGGATTAATACATTTTTAGAAAGAACTGTATCCTGCTTCTACAGGAGAATATGTTTAATAAGGCGTCTAGCAACCCTGGGCTTTTGTTGGCCAACTGCAGGGCAACTTTGAGGGGCAATTTCCTTGACCTAGATACAAGATTAGCAGTAGAACATATGCAGTGGCTGAGCCAGCTTGCTCCTGATTCCTCTTGATTCATCAGCCTCCTCCACTTCTGCATGTAGCCAGGCTCCAGCTTTGGATCTGGCTGGTTCATTGCAGCCTTGGGCTCACCAAGCCCCTCAGCAGGCTCTACGAAACACTGACATTTAATTCTCTTAAGTGACCACTACTCTTCTCCCACTTACCAGGGGACTGTACATACATGACCCATTTTCAGACCCATTCCCTACATCTACACTTTTTCAAATACAGACTTCCCAGGAACAGGAAGAAGGAGCTGCATTTGAGATGGGAGAAGGAACAGAACAAGTTGTGGTTGATTTAGGGATGGGGAGGTGACCTTAGAAGATCCTCTGTTTTTAAGGCCACACAGAAATGATTCATCCACTGAGGCATCGTCAGTGCTGAATGAACCCATTTTTGCAGTTTTTCTCCAGTTCTGCCCATCCATTACTGCAAACCATGTTCTTAAAGGGAGCTTAAAGCTCTCTTAGCACTCATTCTTACTGAGACACCTTTTTGTGGTTTCTGTAATGATCTTGGCTCGTCCTCTTTTAGGATGGGCTGAAATGGGAAGGCTCCATCTTAGAGGAGTGTCCTGGCGATCTACCTGGATAGGAACTGGGTGAGTCAAAAGGAGTATATGGAGCATGAGAATCTGGAAATCATGAAAGAAGCAGCAAGAGTCATTCCATCCACCTACCTCCCCT